TTTCCCAGGGATTATTTCTCCCAGGAGACAGGATCTCCTCTGTCTGCAACAACATTCTTTTATATAGTATGTTCTTGCCTTGCGTCAACTCAGATATAGGAGTTAAATTTTTTCTATACTTTATCTCTTTTGAATGAGATTTTTATAATTTTTTTGTTTCAATTAATTTTTACTATCTTGAGCTAGAGGGACTTAAAAATACTTTAAAATTACACAAAGTTTAGAAGGCTACATAAATATAAAAAATTGAAATATTGAAACCTTCAAATGACATTTTTATACGTTTCTAGTAGTTTTGCTTCTAAGATAAGTGAAAGTTAAGCTGCACAAGAAATTTTGGAACATTTTGTACACACACACACCTGTGAGAAATCAATCCAGTACTCTCAAGTGTAAGAATCAAGCATTGCTTTTAGTTCCAAGGACTTCTTTTACTACTTCTTGTAAGGTAGGACTGCCAGCAGCACCTATTTTAGTATTTGTATATTTGGGAATTTATTTTTCCTTCATTTTAAAGGTTAGATGTTCTGGACACGGAATCCTTGGTTGACTTTTTTTTCTTTAAGCTTTGGCTATGCCGTCTCACTGCCTTACCCCCACTGTTTCTGATCAGAAGTCAGTGGTTAATGTTACTGTGGTCCTTTGTACAAGAAGAGAATTTTTCTCTTGCTGCTTTCAAGATTCTCTGTCTTTTCACAGTTTGACTGTGATGTTTCTGGGAGTGGATATATTTGTTTTCATTTTACTAAGGGTAAACGTTGGCTTTATAGATTACTGTTTTAAGTCAAATGTGGTAAGCTTTCAGCTATTATTTCTCCAGGTATTTTCTCCTTTTTCTTTCTGAGACTCTTTTTCCGCCTACATTGGTGTGCTTGATGATGCCTCATGGGTCAGTTTTCTTCAATCTCTTTTCTCTTTGTTTTTCAGATCGTGTAATTGCTATTAATGCATCTTCAAGTTTACTGAGTCTTTCTTCTGCCATCTGAAGTTTGCTGTTATGTCCCTTAGTGAGTTTTTTATTTGTCATTGTCCTTTTCAATGGCAAAGTTCTACTTTTTTAATAAATAACTTCTAGCTCTTTATTGGGTTTCTGTGTTTGTTGAGCCATTATAATTCCATTTTCCTTGAGTTCTTTGTGTGGTTTCCTTTAGTTTCTTTAAGTACTTACATTCGCTGCTTTGAAGTCTTTTTGCCAAATACAACACCTGGGTGCACTTAAAGACAGTTTCTATTAATACTTTTTTGTTTTGGGGTTTTTTTTTCCACACAAGTATGGGTCACATTTTCTTGTTTCTTTTCATGTTTTGTAACTTTTCATTAAACGCTGGGTATTTTAAATAATATATTGTAGCAACTTTGCATAGTAATTTTTTCCTCCTGAGACTTGTTACTGGCTTGTTTGGTTGGTTAGTAACTTGCTTACTAAATCTGTGAATTATGTTAGCAATGTATAGCCACAGGTGTCTCTGCTTAAATTTTTGCCTTGTTTGTATTTTGATGCGTGGTTTCCCGGGAGTGACTTCTTTAATGGCATGCATGGTATTCGATCAACAGTTGTTTGGATTTGCACACAGACACCTTGAGTCAGTGAAGCTTCCACTGTTTGCTGATGATTTCTGTGTGGACAGGGAGTCCATTCAGAATCCTGGTGTCACTGGTGTTTACCTTCTACCTTTGTTTACTAAATCTACTTTTCATTGCAATACAGCCATAAGTCACCCTATAACCAAGAAAACAGGACAGTGACTTCTATAAAAAATCTGCTTTCAGGAAGCTCTCTAGTAGTATACAAAATGCATAACACACCATGTAGGGGAGCTCTTAAAAAGATTGTTTTAATTTTGAAAATGAATCTGTAGTATTGACATTTAAAATTCATTTTCAACTTCTACATGTCACACTCCTGGAAAGACTTTTGCATAGTTTTATTTTTTTCTCTCTCATCTAATCCTTTTAGTAACCCTGAAGGGTAAATGTTAACCCATTTGTCAGTTACAAAATTTAGTGGAGCCTGAATTCAAACTGTGATGTGTCCAATACCCAG